GAGGGAAGGAATTCTCTCTCTCTTCATGGCTGCAAAATATTAACATATTTTTTCTTTCCTCGCGGTCTTACAAGTAAGGAGACGAGGAGGGAAAGAATAAGGCTTCTTGAGGTATTCTCCCTTCCTAGTCCTCTCCCCTGAAACTACATTACCTTTTTAGCAGAAGTTCATTGACGAACAACTCTTTTCAAAACATTTCTTTAGAAAAGCCACATTGAAATGCAGAACAGTTTCCTACTGTGTTCATACAAGACAGAGCCAAAGTAACAGCTGAGGTGCCCAGGCCACTACTGTCAAGAGAGCTGAGCAAGTGGGTGGAAGGGGGCAAATCTGAGACTTTAATGCCTTGCATCTCCAGCTGCCTCTTGCCTTTCTACCTATACTGTTTCTCTTTCATGCAGCATGGTGAGCTCAGAGGACCTGTCCAGACGACAGCACACATGTGGTTTGTGGTGCTGCAGACTCGTCTGCGGCACCTCAAACCATGCAAGCTCACCATGCTAATTTGCAGCACAGCAGGGTTTTTTAACACTGGGAGATCCCAGTGGCAAAAAAGCTTGTGCCAGAAAAAAGGGGTGCGGCATACATGATGGTAGTGCATGCTACCTGAAACCAGAGCCTGGCCAGCCAGAGCCATGCGGTGGCTCTCAGCCAGGCTTCGTGGACCTGGATTGCCACTGCTGGAGCCCTGGAAGGCCCCAGGACCCCAGGTAAGGCTGCTGAGGCTAGCCCAGGTGCTGGCCCCAGCCTCCCCTACCCCACTCAGGGCAACTTGCCACGTGCCAAAGCACATGGTGCAGGGGCGTTCGCCATGGACAATTAGCAGAGGCACAAAAACGTGCCACTGCTAGTTGTCCCTGAGGAACGTACATTCCCACCCATGGGGAGGTGCCCAGGGAGTTTTAAAGAACAAAGCTAAGGCTGCTACATTACAGGATTGAGGGCACTAATAAGAAGGCAGATTTGGGAAGCAGTCCTGAGAGACTTCAATAAAATGAACAACTCCCAGCAAGGCCACACATTTTTGGTATTTAAACTATTTATGGAGTACTATCACATACCCACAGAATTTGCTCCAGAGTTACAAGGTCATGCACTGAAGTGTTGTTCTACTCTGAAGTGACTAACAATGCCACTACCTGGCTGTGTCATGACTCCTTTTAACACACTCAGGTAGGCTGTGGGTAGACGAAACGAGAGGGGTGTGTACACAATAGGGCTGTGCAAAGCTTCAGGTGGCGATTCAATTTGGAAGAGATTCTGCCTGATTCAGCGGCCAAATCTCCGAATCCAAATCGAATCGGGGGACCAATTTAAAGGTTTGAATCAATTCAAAGCTCTCCAAATCTTCAGAAAAAATTCGGAGAGCTTAGATGATTCGGACAGTCCCTGGTGGCTGCAGCAGGGAGCTGCAGCCAACTCCCAGCTGGTAAGTACTAGGGGACTGATGCTGGCTGGGCCTCAACGTCTGATTCAGTGGGAGCAGAAAGAACGTATTATATTACTGTAGTTCGCTATCTGTAACATAAATACCAAGAACTTACTAAGGCACCACTTAAGAAAAATGCTTATGTGGGCAATGATACAAAACATGCCTCTACGGTTCTGTGCCCTCTGGAGTGCTGCAGGAAATTATCCACCAGAAGTCTTTCCTCAAAGGTGCCATCACAGCCTTTTTGCCTGAGGAGGCTTGTTCATGACTCATGGAAAATACTGAAATGCCATTTTGTTTAAGAAGTCAAATAGCTCTATGTAATAGGGCTGTGCGAAGCTTCAGGTGGCAGTGAGGTGGGGTGTCAGGGGGCTCATGCAGAGCCCCCTATGCAGAGTGGGGCAGTGGGGGGCAGCGGGGGGCAGCAGGGATCGTCCCCCACCTGGCAGCACCCGCTGAGTCAGGACTTTTCTTTTTAACAAGTGCCGGGAGCTGGGGCAGCCATGGCCAGGCTGGCCGAGGGGCAGGGGATGGGCCTGGCCTGGTTGATTCGGAGATTCAGCAGCAGCCAAATCTCCAAATCAGATTCAGCTGAATCGAATTGGGACAGTGATTCGAATTACTGAATTGAATCACTGTTCCCCAAATTGGCTGAATCCGAAGCGAAGACTAGCTGCTTCGCACAGGTCGAGTGCACAACACTTAAAAGCAGGCTAAATGCTTTTGCACCGCTTCAATGGTGTTGGTGTTTGCACGCCTCGGTGGCATATGGCACATTAATTCCAGCCACTGTAGGAAATTCGGTGGTGTAATGCACTTTAAATGACTTGGGGTGCAGCAAACTAAAGCTCCTTCAAGAAGTTTTAGTTTGCTGCCCCTACAGCCGCAGAGTGAAGCACTGGGCTCCATGCAGCTCCACAGCTCTGCAGAAAGCCCTGCAGGCAGCCTGACAGCAGCCCAAGAAAGCATGCTCTGCCCAAGAAAAGCAGCGAGCCCAGCATGGGAGATAATGCTCAGGGGCAACCAACATGGGTTCACTGAGGGCAGATCCTGCCTGACTAACCTTGTTTCTTTTACAACCAGGTCACACATGGATGCGAGCGCTGAGGTGGATGTCATCTACCTGGACTTCAAGTAGGCCTTTGACACTATTTCTCACCCCATTTTCAAAAAAAATTGGCAACTTCGGCTTTGATGCCTACACAGTCAGATGGGTGGTAAACCGGCTTGATGGTCACACCCAGAGAGTGGTGGTGTTTTTTGACCTGGAGGGCTGTGGGAATGGACTCCCAAGGGAGGTGGTGCTCTCCCCTACCTTGGGGGTCTTCAAGAGGTGGTTCAATAGATATCTGGCTGGGGTATTGTGATCCCAGCACTTATTTCTGTCCAGGACAGGGGTTGGACTTGATGATTTGTTCAGGTCCCTTCCGACCCTAGAAATTATCAGCATGAAAGGTCTTACAGATTTTACAGGTCCTGTTAAGCGCTCTACAGCAGCTGGACAACCCTCAATGGCTTTCAGTGTATATAAACCCTTGTAATACAACTTTGTTGACATCCAAGGAGGAAGACTCCCCAGCATTAGCTCTAGTGATAGCAGTTAAACATTTAGCTTTGCTAGAATGAGCAAATCCCCCCCCATGTTGGAAACAGTACGGGGAAGAGGCCATGACATTTTTATGCAAAGCAGCAATGCATTTTCAGGGAAGCTGCTGTAAGGCGCAAAGCAGACAGCACAGGGGCGAATGGTCTAATTTCAAATCATTTGCTCCTTAGCTGCCAAGTGCATAGTATACTTTGCTATGTTAAGATTTGTAGTGTTGAAGTGGGAAATTATGTTTACCTTCAAAATTTATGAGGTTGGGCAGAAGGGGAGGGAGAAACTATCATTCAAAATATGGAAAAGAAAACTAAAGGAATCCTACTGAAGCATCCTGCCTGTGTCCCCTTAATGTACTGAATAAGAGAACACAACAACCATTCTGTTTTCCTGTTTTAAAATCAGACCTATTATGGACAGAGGTGTAACCCACACTGCTCCAAAATTTATTGGGGTACATAGCCCCTTTGATTCTTTCTTTTACACATGCCCACAGGGTTTGAATCCCCCTTCCAGACTCTCTTCACATCTCTGCTCTTTCTTCCTGCAGATTACCTCCCAAACAGCCTGTAAACTTTAGTCTTCCCTTTCAAAAGAGTAGTCTCCATAACAAATGAATTAGCAAGATCTGTGCAGCACTTCAGTAGCAAAATAGAGGGGCAGATGTGGGCTCCTTAAGGCAGATATGTTACAGGCGCTACACAAATCATGCACAATTTTAAGGGAGAATCTCCCACAGTTTTCTAGTTGGATCAAAAAAACCAATAGGCACATTGGGCCTTTGCTTATCATTTGCCTGACTAGCATTTTGCTGGAAGTTAGGATTTTAACAAATATTTGGAAGCAGCACTTGTAACTCAAAAAGTAACACTGAAGATAAATATGGGCAACTTGATCATTTTTTTCAAACATAACGGTGGGTGTTTTTTAAAACCCTGATTTATAATCCGTACACACTCAAAACGATCTGTTTTAGGAGGGATAAAATCAAGCATTTTAACACTCTAATTGGATCAATGAAGAAAAGTATAATCTATTGAGGTACTTATCTCATGAAGTATTTCTAGAGTCTCCTACCACTATACTTAGGAAGTGCTATTATTTTAAACTCCTTTGGGTCTAAATATTTACAGTTTGGGCCACCAACCAACTAGAAACTCCAATTGCCTTAGTTTAGGTAGGGTCTACAAAGCTATTCCTGCCCAAAAAGATCATAAGACGGCCAAAGGAGTCTAACAGCCAGTATTCTGAGGGCAATGATCATACTCAAAAGGAAATAAATGTTAGCCATGTATTGTAACAAGCAATTACCATGAGGCAAAAAAGAAGTTAATTTCACTGAAAGCACAAGGGAAAGCATGTGCCAAAAAGGAGAAGATAGATAAGAAAATGCTCATAATTTTAAGTGGATATGACAAACCTGAAAGATAAAAATGCAATACAATAAAGCACTTGGCAGCATCCTATCAGACTCAAAATAATCAGTGGAAAGTTGTTTGAGAACCCATCACCCAACCCCGGATAATGTTTCTGTGGTGGAGTTGGTCAAAATGATCACTGCCATCAGGCATAGTAGGTAATGTACACACCGCTAGCTCAAGCATTTAGCTCATGGATCAACTGTACCAAGAAAGGAGAGAGGGAACTATACTATATCACTAGAATTAGCTAGTATTGCATTTAATTCTAGCAAAGTTAAGCTGCTGGTGATAATTAGAAGCATTGAGATCTGAAAAAATGAAAAACAACTGAATTGGAAGCTCTCCAACTGGCTTCAAGTCTTCACAACCATCTTCTTATTAAGGTGAAAGGACAACCAATGGAAGCTGACGTAAGCAGTCTAATCAATTTTTCAGCCTTCCCTCCCAGGATCACTCCTGCCTAAGTGAAAAAAGACTATGGGGTCTAATTGTAAAAGCAGCCAGCTGAACATGTTTTTGTGCATACAGCAACTTGAGAGGCAGCCATTAGCCATCTGTGAGTGTAAATACCCAAATTACAGTAAGATGTGTGAGAATCTCCAATCGCAGAAACTGCAGGCTCTAAACATAACTAACGAGATCTGAACGGTCAACATTGCTTGCCCAGCCAGGCTGGAAATCTCATGGCAGACAAAGATTTTTGCATTTTTAATTTTAAGAGACGTTTCCCATTTCTGTCTTATACAAGTGTCAGTGACACTGAGCCTTGAGAAGTCTCAAGACACAAACATAAGAGTGTTTGTTTGTTTGTTTGTTTAATATCTGCTAATGCAATTGCCAGAACTGAACCTGGCAGCCCATGATCTCCTATTCAGATGAGACAGAGTAAAGTTCAAAGATTGGCTTGCAAACCTTTTTAAAAAAATGCTATTCTTGTTCTAGCAGGGAATGTGGTATGTGACCTGCACAAAGGCCCTGAAAAGCATCACTTAACTCTCTTGGCACTGTACCCATCATACTCGGACACTGTGGTAAGAATCAATAGGTTCTTTAACTGTTCAATATTCTCTCCTCCCATAAGGGTACTCTGATAGCAGCAGAGGAACTGGGAGTCAAATCTGACTTGAGTTGCATACTAAGAAAATTTACCTTGTTCTGTATTCCTGTGTAGAAAGACTATTAGGCACAATTATGGCCTGATCTCTTTTTGGTATGGCATGAAAACGCCATTAGTAAAAACAACCTGATTTGCTGTTTTATGACTTGATTTGGTCTCGCGTTGTTTACTAAAAATGTAAATAAAAGTTTCAAGTCAAACTTAATGGCTACATCTTAAAGGAATCAAATATGCAAAGGAGGCATGAGCTGTGTTTACAGAAACCCATCCTTCAGAACAGCCTACATTGTGTTTGCACAGTCCATCTGATTCAAATTCATCCCAGACAAATTAAAGTCATTTTCATTAGCCCTCAATGACTGCCAACTCACTACTCTTCTGGTTACTATTTACGTTATGGGATAACACTCATACCCTGTGAACTCCTGTCAGGACAAACTATCACAGGTTACTGTGTCTCAGTCTCTATGGTAAATCCCTACATGGCATAAAGAATATCCAAAATGCTTCAGTCAGATTAATTACATGTTTTGGCTGTGGTCAGCATGTTACAGCAGCACTCAAATCACTACATTGACTCTCAAGTGATGGAAACCACGCGTGCAATCTTGAACTGCAAGGCCTTGGATGACTCGCAACCTTCTTACACAGCCAGCATACTGTAATGATTCTTCAAACTCCTTTTTTGGTGGATTTCAGTCAATAAAGCCAAGGTTACTAAACATCCCTAAGGTAAACAGGATCCTACTTGGGTCAAGTGTCTACCTCAGAAGCAGGTTTAGACCTCCAGATATGAAATCCTGGGATTGCAATTATCCTCTGCAAGATTCTTGCTCCCCTTTTAAACTGTCCTCAAGGATTATGTATTCAAGCATCTCTTCTGAAGGCAGCACACATTTGGATCCCACTGCGACACCGAGTCCCTAGAAATTCACTAGAGAGCAAGATACAATGCAACAATCTCAGGGGCCGGACTTCTAAAGGTATCTGGACACCTACGGAGGCAGCTAGTCACTTAGTAGGATTTTCAAAAGCACTGACGCCCCAGATTTTAAAAGATTTTCCAGGCACTTAACTCCCATGGGACTCAATGGAGTTACACATAACAAGTCTGCTGACTTGAAAGCCAGGAATCAAGTTCTGCTCATTTAAATAGTAGTAACTGGTACTGGCAGTAGCCCAGGGCAGGGATGATCTTCAAACACTATTTTGAAGCTATAGTCTTAAATTCAGCCTCTACAAAACATTTCCCATACTGACAGTATCTGACAGATCACAGTATTTTCCTGTATGAGGAATAACAACTGATCTCAGAGTGGCATGTTAACTATTGTCATTTAAAAACCAATCACTCATAATTAATTCCATTTATCAGAATTAATTACTTATGGTAAAAAGTCACATGGGGCAAGTATGGGAAACCACACCTAATAGAGAAAGCTACTAATTACACAACCATTTTGCAGATCAGCTTTCCCCTCCCCTCAGCCAGGAACTGTTTAAATCAGAGGCCTGATCACTGTTGGACCAAGTCAGAAACTGTTCCTCTCAGGAGTAGCCATGTTCTACTCTTCACTGCCCACCACTCCTTAAAGTAATACAATATATGCTACAGTCCTTTTTTTCAGGGCGGGGGGGAGGGTGCAGAGGCCAGGGAACCTTTATAACTTGTTCAAGACAGCCTAGGTATGACATGGCACCAAACTCTATAAATGAAGAGATCACTCTCCAATCTATGCACCACCTCTTCAGGATTTCTATGCAAACCAGTGATACCATCTCCATCAACAGCTCTGCCATAAATAGAGTATCATAGCACAGGGATTAACTTAGATTTAAAATATAGCACAGCAGCAGTTGCTATATTGAGAGAGAGTAACTAGGAAATGCAATACACCCTCCTGTTTTCCTGTTCCCTCTGAACTTGTACCTCTCAGTGAGGAGGAGGGACAGCTGGATGGTTTTCAAGTTTATTTCTTTTAGTCCAAACTTAATTTTTGTTGGCTGTTTTTTGGTGGAAGCCAACATTAGGAAACAAACTCATTATTCTTCCCCTGTGGCCTCTCAAAGTGTCTACAGTAAAGCTTGTACATAATTAATCTTATAGGATCCTGAATCCTTCCCCCATCCCCACCTTGGCATCAAGACAGACTCACCTTAAAATCTGTATTATTGATGTACTCAAACACGAGAGCTGGGGTCTTTGACTGCAAGAGAGAAAGATGAATGGTTTAAATACCCTCCCACACCACCAATTCCTTCTGACCTTTCTTTGTCCAAGGACTCTCCTAAGCAAATTTAGTTTCCTGTTCCCAGCCTCTGCCCGTTGTTATACTTCACAGAACAGGGCAGTAACATGAGAGAAACACAGTCTCTGCTCTGTCACTAACAAAACATGCTGGAACAACTCATTCTTGCTCCCCACCAGTGAGACATTTCTCACCAGGTTTGTCTCTCCTTCCAACTCACTGATCCCAGATAGTCTCCAGCAAAGTAAAATGCAAAATCTAGTGCTCTCACCTCACAGCTGACCTGGAGAGTGATGTTGCATCTTACTAAACTTAGGACTTGCTATCCATGTCATCTCCAAAACTAGAATTCATATGACTCAGCTCAAGAACCCATTCTACTATCAGCCCCCAAACAATAATCAGAGGAACCGTTTTGGGAATGGAATAAATGTAGCATCTAAATGACAAACCAAACCAAACAACAAAATGCATGCTCATGAAAGGAAAATGAGGAATTAAGAAGTGTTCATTAGATAGGAAGACAAATAGTAACCCTGGGTGGTGATGAACACCTGATATACCTCAGCCTGGAGAGACCACTGCTCCTTAGGCCAGCCAGAAGTGGCCATGCTGCCCAGCCAGAAGTCTGTGCTTTAAGACCAACACAGTTGAGCTACAAAGTTCTTCCCTGTTAGTCAGTGCAGGGAGGCTCATCAGATACAGAACAAGAGCAAATGGTTCTGAAGTAGGTAGAAGAATATCAGGTCATCTGAACCAAGTTATTTTCAGGAAAGCCTCAAAACCCAATATGTCTCACTCCTTTTCAGGAAGAAAGATGCAAAGAGCAGCATGAAGGGTAAGGTGACAGAACAGGCAGTGACAAAGATGAATATTGTACATGGAACACATATCCAGCTAATGAACATCTTGCAGGACTTACTGACTGCACGGGACTGGCTGTATAGACTGCAGGTGAAGACAAGCTCAGCACTCAAGATACCCCAAGACATACTGGCACCTACCACTGGATCCTTGACAGTGTCAATCAGCTTAATGATGTTGGTGCCACCTCGCAGATTCTCCAGAATCTTAACCTCTCGTTTTATCTTCTTTTTCTTCACTGGCTTAAATACACAAAAGTAATTAGACATGAGATTCCTTTCACAAGTTAACACCAGCTCCCACCTGTTGATTTCTACTAGACTGGACTACCTCCTTTCTCTATGTGGTTTGAAGGGAAACAGGGGAGGAGAAAGAAATGAAAGCATTTCTAGCTTCTGTGAGGAGGCAATACTCAGACAAGGGCTGGCATACAATAGACAGGATGACCAAATAGTTTTCACCTGCCCTCATTAATTACCTATAGATACTGGGCAAGACCAAATGGTGGAGGTTGTCAAACTAACTCAAGTCATATCCAAGTATTTTAATACTGCTTGCCAAAAGCCCAACATGCTAGTTGTGTGTTAAACATAGTATAACATAGGACAAGAATGGCAGATGCGACTTCAGACATTATTTACCAGTCCAGTACCTTTTTCTTGTCCTTGTTGCTGCATAATTTAAAAACATTTATCATCACGTTTCCTTCAGCTTGCATAATTTTCAAATATCGAGGGTTATATAAAGTTCACACCATGTGTACCTCAACAGATATCATATAGTTCTTCAACTACCACATAAAGTGTGGACACCCAGTGTCATTATACTATTTGATATATTATTACTATTTTTTAAAATTAAAATGTAAGGAATATAAATCTGAAGTGAGAATCTTCCTATACTTAGTTTCGATTGCTACTTAGATTTGAAATATTGTTCATTTTTCTAAGAACGCTATCAAGTGAAAGATTAAGCTATGCCTTATTTTGCCTAGTGCCAAAGTCCAGTTATGCTCTATGAGGTCACTTTACGGGTTGGCAATGTAGAGTTCATTTTTTCCATACTCTCATAAAAAATGTTAAATTGCATGTAAATTGATCTTTTTCATTCTTTGTAGTCAGGAATGATCCAGTCTTGAGCAGGGGACTGGAACTAGATAACGTCACAAGATCCCTTCCAGCTCTACTTTCCTAAGCTCCTACGACATTTTAATGTTTTTAAATTATCTTTCAGGTGTACTCCCTGCAAGGACCTCTTTTAGGAAGTAAATTTTCATTGGTCAAGCTAACAAGCTGCAGGAAGTGGGAGGGGAGGTTCCTTATCAAATCAAATAATGTTTTCTCTTTTAGTTATATACATTCAGTCCTCATTTCCAATCCATTAAGTTACTATAGAGAAGTTACAGTTTTCTGTTCCCAAATCCTGCACCTGCTTTGGATGAAAAAGCAGCCTGTCAGCTAAAGTAAGATTTGGAGACTTATTTGAAAGAAGATTGCTAGCAGCAATTCTCCTTGGATAACTGGCAGCCCACAATAACTTGCTCTTGTAAGAACCAGAGCAGGGTACCAAGGATAGATTTAAGTTCATAAGGAACACTAACTCCCACTTGTACTCATCCCAAAACAGTCTGTAGAAGGCAAACTTCGGAGATGTACTATTTTAACACTGAGTTTAACAAGTCTCCCTTTTCACTGTCAGCTGCCTCTTCAGCTTTCATAATTTTTCAGTACTTAAAGTTCCTGAAATCACTAATGTTTTAGATTAGAAAGTAACACTGAAAACTGTAGCAAGAACTCTATTTGCATAGCTACAAACACTAAACCTACATTCGGATCCTACCTTGGATGGCAATCATATAACAAAGATGAAATCTGCAAACACACAGACAGCTCACACTTCAGAAGCCAAAGACCTGCACGGGGCCCTGATGTTTCAGTTGCATTCCCTTTACCCATATGTTAAATATAAAAGCTACATCAAGAGATAAAAATTGGATTGTAAATCAGGAAAAAGACATCAAAAGTTGCACATCCTCATAATTCTTCCCTCTTATGAATGCACATTAAAACACAGTTGACAACTACAAACTCTGTCAAAAGCAGTTTTAGGCTTTTGGGAAGATAAAATTCCATACTGCATGACTATCTGGGTAGGCATCACTAGAACATGCCTTACAAAAGGAGCTAGAAAGGTTTATAAAATACAGTGGACAAGGCAAGGACTTTGGATAGACTTTTCATTCACTGTGTGCCTCCACTCAATTTTACAGACATGCTGCCAGTTTACTTTCAACAAGCTAAATTATTGTCCTCATTGTACTGCACGTGCACAAAGAGGATTTCAAGACCTCAAAATTCATTCAAAAGAAAGTGTAACCCGTTTGCACTGGAACCCTCCAATGGCACTATCCCTCGGTAAGGATTCTCTGTCAGATGAAAACTCTCCCTTTGCCCTTTCAGCAATAGAGAGGTTAAAAGCAAGCAAACCTTGTAGCTGTGTAGATTTTATATAATGAAGAAAGTTTCACTCAAAAATTTCCAAAAAAGCCACGTTCTAACAGAGGTCAAGATTAAGTCTTCAGCCTGAAAGATGAATGTTCCAGAAAGGTATCAACAAGTGTTTCTCTACTAAGCCCAGAAAACAAACCCTCACAAACAACAGTAGCTGCTATTCCCATAAGAGTAAGGCCTTTTGCATTTTTTGTCCATTAATTACAGCAGCCAGTCAATCTGCCAGTGTCATCACCTTGAAACATTCACGAAAGGATGCAAAAGTGATACCCCAATGCAATTAGGGGTGCACCAACAGAGATTTTTGGGGCTGATACCAATAGCCAATTTTTAGGGAGGCAGATTGGCTGATACCAATACGATTTCCAATAAGCAGCTCTTCAGCTGGAAGAGCTGCGTCCAGCTGGTAAGTCTGGTGTGGTGGAAGGGGAAAGAAGTGGTGTGGGGGGGCAGATCAAGGCCCCTGTGGTGAGGAAGCGAATGGGACTGGGGCTGACCAGCTGGGGCGGGGAGAGGTGTGGGACAGAGCTGCAAGAGGCTCATCTGGAGGGTGGGGGCATGTGCGCCCCCCCCTCTAGTTCTGCGCGGGGCAGGCTTCAGCTGCAGGCTGGGGCAGGTGCGGGACAGAGGCACAGCTCGTCAGAGGGGTGGCTCTTGCCGCTGCATGCAGCTTATCCAGTGCACATCTGGCGGCTTTCACTGCTCATCCAGGAGGACATAGGAGAAGGAGGGGTGTGCCCCTGGATATGTCCAGCCCCAGCCCGCCCCGCACAGATCCAGGGGCACGCGCCCCCCCTCCTCCACCCCTTCCAGATGAGCGGCAAGAGCTGCCAGACAAGCACCAGACAAGTCACACACTGAGGTGGGAGCCGCCCCCTGCCACACTTCCTGCACCCACCCCAGCCCCAACCCCACACTCCACTCAAGGCCCCCTCACTGCAGGGGCCTTGATCTGCACCCCCACCCCATGCCACTTCCCCCTCCCCTTCCCCTTCCACAAGACTTACCAGCTGCACGCAGCACTCCACACTGCCGGCTCTGCTCCTCATTGTATACATGCTACGCTGCAGCTGTGCACATACACGGACATTTACTGGACAAATTATTGGCCGCATCAGAACAATTTCCAATACAGAAAATGTCCTTTGTACCGGTGCCAATCCACTATCGGACCAATGTGTCGGTGCACCTCTAACTGCAATTTTGGGAAAAGCAATTGTAGAATGTAAGGTCAGGCAAGGGAGGAGAGCAAGGAGCTATCACCTGCAAACCAGTGAAGTTTTTTTTTGTTTTTTTTTTAATCTAACAGGAAAATGTTTCATTATGGGACTATAATTCCATCTATGTCAAACTAACTACATAAACCATTCCAGCTTTGTTCACATGACTTCATCATCATCATCAGGAGGCCAAGATGGAATTAAAAAGCACATAATTTAGTTACCAGGCTTGTCTGCCTGCACAGAGAAGCAGACAAGCTATGTTCTATGTAATTTTAAGTAACTATGTTGCCGCTTCACCCTTAACAAGTGCATTAAGCCTGGCCACTGCTGAAGCCTCAGCACTATGCAAGAACTCTCCTATTGCATATGATGTGATATGCAGACCTAACTGGGAACCTGAAGTGATACCTTTATTCCAGGGGTGGGCAAAATACAGCCCCCGGGCTCAATTCGGCTGACAAGGCCATTCTATCCGGCCTGCAGTGCCCCTTAAAAATGTATAAAATTATTATTTGTCCCTGGCTGCCTGTCTAAACTGACTAGGTGCCAGCAGGACCCAGGAGGAGCCCACGACAGGACCCAGTGGCAGCAGCAGCAAGGCTCGACCGGCTCCACCAGCCCCCCCCCGAAGCCTCTGCTTAGCAGAGGCTTTTGACCTGGCTACCCCTGTGGCTGTTCCCCACCTCCCTCCACCAGAGAGTGCAAAGTTGGAAAGTGCCAGGGAGGAGGGGAGAAGCAGCAGCAGTGGCAGGGCGGTGAGGAAATGGCGGTGGCAGCAGCAGTAGGCAGGAGGGGGGCTGGGGAATAACAGTGAGTGGGTGGGCTGGAGTGCAGGGCCCACCCCAGGGACGGGCAGCAGGAGCATGACGCCTAGGCTGGCAGGGTCTCTATGGAGCTGGGCCGATTTCCTGCCTCTCCCTCCTGGCACACCAGGAGCTGGCCCAGCGCACTCCAGCACCACACGGTTCCCGACTGCACGGCCAGGACCTCACAGCACAGCAGGTGTCAGCCGGGAACTGCAAGCTGCCGAAGCAGTGGGTGGAGGGGTGGAGTGGCAGGCAGGTGCCCTGGGGCCAGGGCCAGCATTAGAGCTTAAAAGGCCAACCCTCATACTTCATGAGAGAGACAGGGGTGGGCTGAGACAGAAGGCAGAGCAGGTTGAGCCAGGCATGACCAGAGAAGACAGGCTGAGACTGAGAAGCTGAGCTAGGGCAAGTGAGCTAAGGCCTGCACAGGCTGGTGAGTAAGAATAAGACTACACCCCCCACCACATGCTCCCCAACCCTACGTACACACACCCCACCCCCTCCACACACCTATCCATGCCTCCAAACCGCATCCCCATCCCCCCATACCTATCTACCCCTCTACACCCTTCCCCCACACCCTGCATACACCCCTTCCAAATCCTGTACCCAACCCACCCACACCTCCCCATACACAATGTACAAAAGTAAGACTTCATTTTAAGCTATTATGCAGTCACTTCTATGTACACTATCCAAACAC